TCGTCAGTACGGTTTGTCATTTGCACTAATGATGCTTTTCGCTACAGACCAATATTAGATGTTACTCACCTGTCTAACAGAACAGTTGCAAGCTCAGCATCAAGCCATATCTCTTTACCCGGAGCTGTCTCCAGCGGTGGAAAAACACACTTGCTTTTTTTCTGGCCAGATCTGACCAAATCTTACACATTACACCTTTAAAATGTAGAACATTAAAGTCTCAGATTTATTAAAGTGTACATGAACTTCCTGTTTGTATATGAACTTCCTGTCTGTATTTGAACTTCCTGTCTGTTCACCTGTTCACTGTCCAGGTGAGGATTCCTTCAAAATCAGACAAACCTGGAGGAAGTCCAGTCAAACAGGCTGCTAAAGAGGTCAGAGGTCACAGGCTGTTCATCTTCATTCTCTCTGCTTCTATCATTAATAAATAAATCAATAAAGTTTTATTATTAATATCTGTCTCTCCTCAGAACCTGTTGCCGGCTCCGACACTGCTGCCCACGATCCATGAACTGGACCTCTTCAAGTCAGAACCAGTTCTTCCTCTGAACCTGATCCACATTTAGTTTAGTTTGTCTTGATCATTCTAGTTTTATTCTGAAGGTCAGCAGATGTTTTAATGACTGAATGAACTGTTTCCACTCGTCTAACGTGACCTCTGACCTCTGACCAGGTGTTTCCAGTCAGCGCTCATCCACCTGCAGATGCTCTGGGAGCTCATGTTACTCGGGGAACCGGTGGTTGTCATGGCGCTGTCTCCCACCATCTCCTCGGAAACTGTGCTGGCTCTCGTCAGGTAACTGAACAGCCAATCAGGAGTCATTTTAACATCCTCAGGTGTGAAGTGATCACATTCACACAGTTTGACATCTCTCGAGGAGGCGGAGCACACCTGGACAGGTCACCTGTCAATCACACAGCCTTGAGACACCTTTGAGTCTTTTCACGTGAAGAATAAAATCAATCTTAAAATATTCAACATTTATTGATTCACTGTGAACGAGTCACAAAAACATCAGGACAGATGTTTGATGATGTGTGTTAATGAGCTCCTGATGGAGAGATACTCTGAGTGGTTGTTGCCGTGGTAACGGTGTGTGTCTCCTCAGCTCCATCAGTCCTCTGAAGTTCTGCTGCGACTTTCGTCCTTATTTCACCATCCATGACAGTGAATTCAGAGAGTACACCACCAGGACACAGGCCCCGTGAGTTACCTGCACACCTGAGTCTACCTGTCTGAACTCAACTGTGTCAATCTGTCTGAACTCACTGACTCTACCTGTCTGTCTGAACACACCTGTCTTGTCTCTGTCAGACCTAACGTGGTTCTGGGAGTCACCAACCCGTTCTTCATAAAGACGTTCCAGTCGTGGCCTCACATCGTTAGACTGGGAGAGATCAGGATGGCAGGTCTGTTCTCTCCTCTGTTCATACATTCATTCACATGAAGGTTGATTCAACAGGTGTGTGACATGAACCAGGTCAGATGTCACAGGTGTTCCTACACAACAAACAACACTGTAAAACACAGAGAACAAGCAGCTGATCATTCATGAAAACTGTTTTATAAACAATCCATGAGTTCCACATGTTGGTCTAGAAGAGCCTGAGAACCCTGAGAGGAACCACATGTTTAATATCTTTACTTTGAAAAACCTGAGTTCAGTCAATAAAGTTTAGAATGCTGAGATGAAATATTCAGTTTTTTATCAAAGAAATACAGTATCTTTCTGTTTATTATTATTATTATTATTATTATTATTATTATTGATAAGTGAATGTTTCCTTGTTTTAAATCTAATCACATCAGTCGGACTCTGACTGACCTTGTGCAGATTAAACATATAATAAAATAATTAACCATGAAGTTCATTAGATGACTGAGGTTATGAATTGATTATTACGGTTAATATCATAACGACTCACCTGTCTGATCACTTCCAGGTGATTTACCCAAACAGGTGAAGGTGAAGAAGCTGTCCAAACTGAAAACACTGGACACCAAACCAGGTAACCTGACAGAATAGAACCAGGTGAAAACCCAGACCACCTGAGTGTGTGTGACTCAGTGTGACTTGTGTGTGTGTGTGCAGGGATCTACACAGCGTACAAGACGTTTCTACACAAAGACAAGATCCTGATTAAAAGGCTGTTGAAGGTGAAGCAGCAGAACTCAGACCTGAACACATAACGATGATCACATGACAAAGATCACATGACCTGTTTAATGAGTCTGAGTCTCGTCTGCATGTTCAGGGCATCCAGAGGAAGAGACCGTCAGAGGTTCAAAGCGCCATCCTGAGGAGACACCTGTTAGAGCTGACGCAGAGCTTCATCATCCCTCTGGTGAGGATCAGCCAATCACATCGCTCTAATGTCACCTGTTGTCCACCTGTCGCTATACTGACGCTCGATGATGTCAGATCAGCACTGACCAATCACAGAGCAGGAAGTGTAACCCTGCGTTTTGTCTGTCAGGAGCGGTACATGGCAGGCCTGATGCCTCTGCAGAGATCTGTGACGCCTTGGAAGGTAAACAGGAAGTGGCTTCTTTGTGATGATGTCACAGTGATGTCATCAGTGTGGAGATGACCGGTGATTAATTTGTTTCATTTGTTCAGACTCCTCCTCAGATTCGACCCTTCAGTCAGGACGAGTTCATGTCCACTCTGGATCACACTGGGCCTCAGCTCACCTCAGTGCTCAAAGGTGATTGGATAGGACTGTACAGGTGAGTCCCTCAGGTATGTGCAGGTGGTCTCCATGTTCCCATGCTCACACAATAAATGTCACATTTTCCTGACAGGAAGTTCTTTAGGTCTCCGAACTTTGACGGTTGGTATCGTCAGCGACACAAAGAGATGACTCAGAAACTGGAGAGTCTTCACCTGGAGGTCATCTGTGACGCTGTGAGTTATCTCATCAAACTTCTGGATCACAGTTGTCAAACATCTGGATCCTCTAACCCTGATGTTCTGGTCTTTCCAGGACCTGCTCGGTTGGACCAAAGACAAGTCTGAGGTGGAGATCGTAGATCTGATTCTGAAGCTCAGAGAGAAACTGGTGAGTGGATCAGGGTGACTGCCGTCTGAGATCCGGATCTAAACTCGATGTAACAGATTTATTTAAATGGTCTGTCGTTCTCTCAGTAGAACCTTTTCATTTCATCGACTGTTTACCTGTGAAGTGTCAGTCTGGAGATTTCACACCTGTGATCCAGGTGGGTCAGGACTACAACTCCCAGAGTTGTGTGGACAGCACAATGACTTCCAGTCACAGAATAAGTTTGTTCCATCGCTCTGTTAGCAGCAGTCAGGAGTCTGAAGAGCAGCTCTTCATCTCTCTGTGGCTCCTTCATCTTCTTCACTGATCCTCTCTGTATGAGCAGCAGCTGAACACAGGAAACTCCCCCCACACACAAACTGATCAATATTACTCATCAATATCACTGATCAGTGCCAGTCACTGTTGTTTCCTCGTTCATTGATTCAATGGAAATCCTCCAGACTGACACTTTAAGATTGTCCCTAACAGGCTGCTCTAGATTGATTGTGATTGTATTTCCATGACAGACAGGAGGTGTGTTTGTGTTTTTCAGATTAAAGCTCGCAGACAGCAGCTGCAGGTGAAGGACGGAGTTTTACACAAACTACACACTTTTATAAATACAATGATCACAACACTGTCTGAAGACCTGCAGAGTGTTCTACACACACAGAGAGAACACACACTGAACACACACTGAACACACACTGAAGAACATGTCCCAGCTGCTTGATTTGACTCTCTTCTTCTCCATGTTTCAGACTTCAGCTCTTTATTTTTAAAATGACTTTATTCTTATAATAACATTTTTTCTCACTATAGTGTCTTCATTCATGAAATACTACAACTTCATTTCTGATGCGCTGTCATAATATTTGAGAAGTTGTGGATTTGTTCTTTTCGGCCTGAAACAAACTTTCAGTTGTTTAACATTCAGCTTCACATGTAACATAGAATATTTATAAAACCTGTTTAAATAAAAATCCAACAAAGAACCAAACAGTTCATTGAAAAGCTGCCTGTTTACCTTCTTCGTCTTCGTTGTCTCCCGCTTATCCGGATCCGGGTCGCGGGGGCAGCAGCCTCAGCAGAGAGGTCCAGACGGCCCTCTCCCCAGCCACTTCCACCAGCTCCTCCGGGAGAATCCTGAGTAGTTCCAAGGCCAGCCGAGAGATATAATCCCTCCAGCGTGTCCTCGGTCGGCCTCGAGGCCTCCTCCCGGTGGGACATGCCCGAAACACCTCCCCGGGGAGGCGTCCAGGAGGCATCCTCACCAGATGCCCGAACCACCTCAACTGGCTCCTCTCGACATGGAGGAGCAGCGGCTCTACTCCGAGCTCCTCACCCTATCTCTAAGGCTGAGCCCGGCCACCCTGCGGAGGAAACTCATTTCGGCCGCTTGTATTCGTGATCTCGTTCTTTCGGTCATTACCCAAAGCTCATGACCATAGGTGAGGATCGGAACGTAGATCGACCGGTAAATCGAGAGCTTTGCCTTCCGGCTTAGCTCTCCTGTTTACCTCTGTTCTGAAAAGTTTGATTCACTTTATTTCTGTTACTTTCATTTAAAAAATGAATCTACCATATAACGTCACTGACCACAGATGAAGTGATATTTTTCTAACATTGAATCACAGCTGAAATCCACAAACTGACTGAGCTCAGTGAATGTAACTCGCAAAAGAGGTAATAATAATAAGAATAATAATGTATTTACCATTTTGTTCCGTTTCTCCCAAACTTTAAATATTTTTTTGTTTCGAGAACTGAAACCTGAATCTTGATCACATGGTCAATCATGGTATATTTTCTCCTTTGTAATATTATATTTGTAATGTTGAGGAAAAGTTTTAAATTGCCTCTTCTAGTAGACACTGTGGGAAACCCTAAGGTGAATTTACTATTATCATATTTTAGAAGATGAGAATTAACCAAACTTTGTCAAGCAGGAAAATAGTTTAATTTCTACACAAAATATACATATCAATGATATGAAGAACTGCATTAAGTCACCTTTTAAATGTTTTCATTCAGTGACAGTCATATAATCATACATGTTTAAATATGAATATACAGTTTCTACAGGAGAACAGAACCAAACTGCAAGTTTTCTATCAATTTAAACATCAGATAAATGAAACTATAGCTCCCGTCATAAACCGCTAGCCGGTCAGAGTGAGTTGGTTTCATGTAATGGGGTTTATGTTGGAAAGCATCAGAAGGGTCAAGAAGGTCTGTTTGTAAAACCTGTTCAGAATCAAAGCCAGTGAACAAACTGCAGGAGAAATCAAAGTCTGGGAATGTGTCACTGATTTACAGACAGACTGGATTCAGGTTCAGGAGGTGATGTTTCTTCTTCAGGTGTCTTTATCTCTTGTTGGCCCACCATGTCGCCCCCTGCAGCCTCAGGACGTGGTGTTTCTCCTGCGGGCTAAAGTGCAGGATGGTAAGGATGGCGGTGAGCGTCTGCTGCCTCCCACTGGCGTCCTGCAGCGTCAGGAACTTGTAGATGACGTTCTTCAGGTACTCCATGTTGGCACCCTCTCTGCTCTGGTCTCGGATCAGTTTGTCCAGTTGTCCTCGCAGCTCTGTCACCTCCTCGTCATGTCGCTCTCCGTTGGCAATGAGCCTGGCCTGCAGCTGGTGGAGGTCCTCCTCCAGCCGGTGTTTGTGGCGCCGCAGCCCGCCCACCTCTACCTCCTTCCTGGCCAGCTGTTCAGCGTACAACAGCAGTGTTGGCTCCGCAGGGGCGACCCGCCGCAGGGCCTGGCTGACGATGTCACCCTCGCTCTCAGGGCCGGGCTCGCCATCAACATCAGCAGCTTCATTGCAGTCGTTGTTGCGGCTGAGGGCGGCGGCGGCACGCAGCCTCTCCAGCTCCTGGTCTTTCTCGTCCAGCAGAGCCATTGTCCTCTCTCTCTGTTTGTGAAGCTCCGCCTCCAGTCGCAGCAGCTCGTCGCGGTGCAGTGCCTCCGCCCGCTCCACCTCCTGTCTGTGGCTCTGCTGCAGTGCCGCCACCGCCTGCTGCCGTTCCTCCAGCTCACGGCAGCGGCGGGCCTCGGCCTCATCGCTCTGGATCCGCAGGTTGATGTACTTCTCCTTCAGCTCGGACAGCTGGTCCCGGACCTCCTCCAGCTCTTTGGCCTGGCAGCCATCTTTGGCGTTCTTGTTCTTCAGCACCACCTGTGCTCGCAGCTTGTAACGCTCAAACTCATCCTTCAGCTGCCGCAGCTCCTGCTGGTAGACCAGCGCCGAGGCTCTGTCCCCACCCGGCTCTGCCTCGGTCTCTGCGAGGTCCTGGATGTTCTGGTCTGGATTCCTCTGAGCCGCCAGCATCAGCAGCTTCTTTACCCTCTGCAGCTTCTCCTTCAGCGCACCCACATCCAGCTGCGACTCGTCTATGCTGAGGTCAGAGGTCGACCTGCTGGAGGCGGCGATGGCAAGCGTTTTGTTCTCTGTGTCCAGCTGCAGGATCCGGTCCCGGAGTCTCTGAGCGGTCTGCTGGTCTCGCTGCCTCGCCTTCTCACAGGAACCCAGCAGCTCCGACAGCTCAGAGACTCGCTGCTCCAGACCTGCGACCCGGATCTCTGCGGCCTGAGCACGCTCACGAGTGCGCTCCTCCGCTTCGCAGGCCTGAAACACAGAGAGGGTTCAGACTGAGACCAGAACCTGCTGAGACTAAAACCTAAAGAAGTTCACTGAACCTTTCAAACAGTCACACTGACACCTGCTGGACAATGTGAGGTACTGCACCTGAACCTGAACCTGAGCCTGTTGGATTATAGTCTGGAATCTTCAGTCAGATTGAGTTCAGAGTTGGAGTTTGGTTCAAGTTCTTTTACCTCCCTGGTCTGATTGTGGATCCACTTTAGTTAATGTAGGCCTTGTTTTAGTTAGCTCTGGTCAAGCCTTACCTTCCTGGTCTAGTTGTGATCTGGTTTTAGTTAGCTCTGGTCTAGCCTTACCTTCCTGGTCTCGCTGTGGATCTGCTTCTGGAAGTGGTTTTTCAGCTCCCTCAGCTCCCGCTGCAGCTCATCCACTCTGGGATCTGGTTTCTTCTGGTCTTCCTCTGCGGCCTGCAGCCTCCTCTTCAGCTCATCTCTCTCCTCCCTCACCTGGTTAAGGTGAGCCTCAGACTCCACCCCGCGGTCTACAGCCTGTGATGTTATCAGGAGGGTGGTGTTGGCGTCCTGTAGGCGGAGCTCGGCGTCCTGCCGCAGGTCTCGTTCCTGCTGCAGGATCCTCTGCAGCTCCCTCAGCTGCTGGACGTGGTCTCCCTGCTCCTGCTCCCTCTCGTGCTGCTGCGTGATGATGCGAGCGCGACTCTCGGCCAGCTGCTGCTGCAGAGCGTGCAGCTCCGCCTCCTGCTGTGTCGTCACGGTGACCAGGCGTTCTCGCAGCTCCTCCACCTCCTGCTTCAACTGACGCTTGTCAGCCTGGAAACTCGCCTCCATCCGAGACTTCTCCTGTGTCACCGTGGCCAGGGCGCCGGTGAGCGTGGTCAGTTGGCTCTTCAGCTGGACGATGCGACGCTCCGCCTCCACGCTTGTAAGGGCTGTGGCCTGTTGCTGAGGCTCCGCCCCCATACCACTGCTCTCTGTGGCACCGGCCTCAAGCTCCGCCCTCTCCACCCTCAGGGTCTGCAGGACGAAACGAGAGTTTGAACTTGTCATGTTGCATCATACACTGAACCAAACACACCTGTCCAGGTAACTCTGGTTTACCTGGACTATATATGAGTATATATATATATATATGTATATGTACATATATATATATATGTACGTATATATATATGAGTATATATATATATATACATACATATATATTTATATGTACAGTATATGAGAGAAACTGGAGAACAGATAACATTTAATAACTAAAGGATGTTTCAGTCAGCTGACTTTTTTTAAATGTACCATTGAGCTTACTTTCCCTCCCAGTTCTCCCTGGTCTTCCTCTGATTGGTCCCCTCTGGTGGTCTCAGTGGGCATGTCCACAGACGCCACCGTGTCCTCGCTGTCCTCACTGTGCAGTGAGCAGCCGTCCTCTGGGAGGTCTGAGGCGGCAGCACCAGCGGTGTTGTCCTGGCCCTGCTGGTTCAGGTCCACCTCCTGGGTCACCGTCAGGACCTTCAGACTGGCCTCCAGAGCCTCCTTCTCCTTCAGAAGACTCTTGTAGGCCCGGACCACATCCTTGAAGCGGGTCTGGTACTGGACCAGCTGTTTTTTCTGGGACTCGATGGTGTCCAACAGCTCCTTCCTACTGGGCCCGCCCCCGAAACTCATCCCAAACTTCTCCATGACTCTGCTGGTCTACCAGACTGTTAGTCTACCAGGGTCCAATCAGACTGGATCCATCGTCAGGACCAGAACTGGTTCATGTGGAACCAACCATGATGAAAACTGAGGCTGTGCTAGACTGGAAAAGAAACTGTCAACACAAGCAGCAGTCAGTCCGTCAGTCAGTGTGTAAAGCTGCAATTAAACACAATCAGAAACATTAATACTGTTCTTTAATGACGAACATGTTTCAGTCTTTAAAACCAGCTTCACTGCTTCATGTTTGATTCATGTTTGCCTCTGGATTTAACTGAGTAAAACTATAAACTGCACAACATGGGGGAGGGGAGATCTCTCTTCTCCCTCAGTACAGTCTAAAGATATTCCCTCCCTCAATCGAATTAATTAATGAGCTGATTGAGAGAAAAGTATTGAATCATCGTTTGGCTTAAACACAAACAAGACTGTGAAAATACAACAAGTTTTTAAACTATTTATTATCATTTGTTGACAAAACGATGAACTACATCAAATTAACACATTAGTCTGTGATGAAAACATCGTTAGTTTCAGGTCCGGATATAAACAACAGGTTCACACACAGATCCGGGTCTTTGGTTCAGTCTCAGTTTCTTCTATATTCTAGTTAATGTTCATTATTTCTAATTAATGCCACCGTCACTAACTGTCATTAACCGTCATTAACTGTCCATCTGATAAGACATGTAAACCCAGTTTAAAGCTCAGACAGAAACAAACTTTAACATTTACCGACAAACACCGTCGTTAGTCACCGACCTCTCTCCGGTTCTTACCTGAGTAGACGGGGGTCAGTCAATTTTATCTGAGATCAGAGTTTATTGATTTAATCAGGAAATCCTTGTTTTAAAACGTTATTAATCTTATTTATTGTAAAACTAAATTCAACAAATACAGAACATGAACTGTCAGCTAACAGCAGCCATGTTGGACTCAACCGGATCTGAAGGAGGAGGAGGCGGGAATTCAATGATGCATTCATGAAATCAGGAATATAACCTTACATAGACAAAATGACAGACACTGGACACGTTCTGTTGTTCGTAAACTAAATTATGTCACAGTGACCTGCACTGTTTCTGTTAATGTGATTTTTTTTTAAACACAGAAAAAAATATTAATTTTGAAAATTTCAAAAGTAAGAGAATATTTTTAAATGAAACAATGACAACAGGAAAATAATAATGAGTTTTGTGTCAATTTTGTCTATTTATAATTTTATCTACATATAGTATTTAATTTTATCAAACTATTTTTATTGTGTGTTTTGGTAAAGTCTGATAAAGATGTATTATTGTTGACATTTCTATTATTTAAAACTTTTCTTCCTCTGTTGGGTGGAATGAAATACAAAGGTATTGAGTGTGCAGGCTTTCTACTAGTCCTTGAACGGATCATCACTTCTGAGTGTTAATAAAGTTTTTTCAAAGCAGTGACGTCATTTATTCCGCGTTGGCCTGGACGTGGCACCGAAGAGGAGCTGCGCCCACTCTGGTTTCTCTCCGCCTGTTCCCGGTTTGTTCCCCGGCTCTGACCAGCAGCTGCTCCCGGACTAACCGGCTGACCTCCTCCCGCCCCTGAAACGGGACATTTTAGTGAAATGGGCCTGACGATCTCGTCTCTGTTCTCCCGGTTTTTCGGGAAGAAGCAGATGAGGATCCTGATGGGTGAGCACCGCGGTTAGGCTAACTAGCTCCGAGGCTATCCGGCCAGACCGGCGAGGGCTGAAAACACGCTACATACTCTGGTTTCTGTCCTTAACATAATAACTTGTATCCCGTTCCCGGTGTTGAAGAACCGGCTGCTTAAACTAAGCCTCCGTCCATGACAGAACATCTTAGAAACAGAAGCTAACACCGCTAGCGGTCAGAGGCTAACGCTCAGAGCTAACGGGGCGGTTTAACGGCAGAGTTTAACTCTTTATGTTTAATGAACCTCCCGTTACCGGCAGACTGAAGCGGACGAAGACAGAGCCGCTTGACCCGGAGTTCAGAGTCAGTTCTTGTACTTTAACTCTGATATCTGTCTGTTTCAGTGGGTTTGGACGCAGCTGGAAAAACAACGATCCTCTACAAACTGAAGCTCGGAGAGATCGTCACCACTATCCCAACTATCGGTAAATAATCAGTAATCACATCCGTAATCAGGTGATAACTGTCAGTGTAATGTGTGTCTGTCAGCAATTAATGTCTAATATGACGTTTCAAACATGAATTATTTTCTGCTGAAGTGATGGTTTGTTTTAAAACAGTGAACAGGTTCCTGTTAGTTTCAAATGTTTTGTCTTGAAACACTCAAACACTCAAAATCCTCACAACAGGAACCAGAGATGTCACATGTTACTGGACCATTTGAAACTGGTTATCAATACAGTTCATTAGGATAACAGTCTAACACTCATCCTGTACAGAGTAAAGACAGTTTATTAATCTGTATAATCAGTATATAAAGATGTAATATACAAAGATAGCTGGTTTCTAACAGTACAGTGCAGCCATGAGCAGACCTCAGTGTTAATTCATCTGCTTGTTAATGACTCACATCAGACAACATAATAAACAAACATAGTTTTACTTTAGTCTGATTTGTTCTGTGACACCAATGGATCTAAAGACCTGAACCAGTCTGAGACCAACATCAGACATGAACCAGTCTGAGACTAACATTAGACATGAACCAGTCTGAGACTAACATTAGACATGAACCAGTCTGAGACTAACATTAGACATGAACCAGTCTGAGACTAACATTAGACATGAACCAGTCTGAGACTAACATTAGACATGAACCAGTCTGAGACTAACATTAGACATGAACCAGTCTGAGACTAACATTAGACATGAACCAGTCTGAGACTAACATTAGACATGAACCAGTCTGAGACTAACATTAGACATGAACCAGTCTGAGACTAACATTAGACATGAACCAGTCTGAGACTAACATTAGACATGAACCAGTCTGAGACTAACATTAGACATGAACCAGTCTGAGACTAACATTAGACATGAACCAGTCTGAGACTAACATTAGACATGAACCAGTCTGAGACTAACATTAGACAGAACCAGTCTGAGACTAACATTAGACCTGAAGCAGTCTGGGACCAACATCAGACCTGAACCATTTACTGTGTCTGTTTCAGGCTTTAATGTGGAGACAGTCGAGTACAAGAACATCTGTTTCACGGTCTGGGACGTCGGTGGTCAGGACAAGATCAGACCTCTGTGGAGACACTACTTCCAGAACACTCAGGTACTGAACCAGGACCAGGACTGTGGTTGAAGTTAATATAAGTCTACTCTGAGAGATGAAAACACATCTGATCATACAACCTGTTGTTTTATTATTATTTATTATTATTATTATTATTGTTACTATACACCTGATTATTATAACACAATGAAAAGCTGTTGACCTTTGACCTTTGATCCAGTGTCAGGTTTGATCTTCACTGTTCTCAGGTCAGAGGTCACAACAATCCATTGAACAGTTGATGGATCCAGAACCAGTGTTTGGTTGATGAGAACTTGGTTTATTGGCTCCACTATGTTGAACTGTCCCACACTCAGACTGATGATATTGATTGGTGTGACTTCTGACCCCTCTGTCTGCTGTGTAGGGTCTGATCTTTGTAGTGGACAGTAATGACAGAGAGAGAGTAGCAGAGTCTGCGGAGGAACTCTCCAAGATGGTAAGAAACTTATTCTTTATTTGTCCTTTTATTTTATTAATGTATGTATTTTTCCACAATGTTTTATATTCTACAGATAAATATAACTTCAGCACAAATTAAACACTCTGTTTGTTTCATTATTGATTAATCTGACCAGTATTTCTTCTATAGACTCGTCCTGACTGAGATAGAGACAACGTCACCAACGTCAGAATAAATAATAACACACTTTTCTTAAATATATTAGTGTTATTATCGTTACTGGAAAAAAAATCAATTGACTCCATCCACAGTGAAGACCTCGGCCCTGTAGATTTATGACACCATCAGTGACATCATGATACATATGACACTCCCTCTCTCTGTAGATCCAGGAGGACGAGTTGAAGGAGGCGGTTCTTCTGGTGTTTGCTAACAAACAGGATCTTCCCAACGCCATGGGAGTCAGTGAACTCACCGACAAACTGGGTCTGCACAGCCTGCGCAGCAGAACTGTAAGGATCAATAATCAATAAGAATCAATAAGTCATTTAGTTTGATCCAGTCTTCAGACATGAAGAACGTTATCTGACCATATTTGAGGTCTGATCAGATTACTACACAATGAGGTCTGATCAGATTACTTCTCAGGGTTTTTTTATCAGATTATTTCACAGAGGTCTGATCAGATTACTTCAGTGAAGTCGGATCAGATTACTACACAGTGAGGTCTGATCGGATTACTACACAGTGAGATCTGATCAGATTACTACACAGTGATGTCTGATCAGATTACTACACAATGAGGTCTGATCAGATTACTTCTCAGGGTTTTTTTATCAGATTATTTCACAGAGGTCTGATCAGATTACTTCAGTGAAGTCGGATCAGATTACTACACAGTGAGGTCTGATCGGATTACTACACAGTGAGATCTGATCAGATTACTACACAGTGATGTCTGATCAGATTACTTCAGTGAAGTCGGATCAGATTACTACACAGTGAGGTCTGATCGGATTACTACACAGTGAGATCTGATCAGATTACTACACAGTGATGTCTGATCAGATTACTACACAATGAGGTCTGATCAGATTACTTCTCAGGTTTTTTTTATCAGATTATTTCACAGAGGTCTGATCAGATTACTTCAGTGAAGTCGGATCAGATTACTACACAGTGAGGTCTGATCGGATTACTACACAGTGAGATCTGATCAGATTACTACACAGTGAGATCTGATCAGATTACTACACTGAGGTCTGATCAGATTACTACACAGTGAGGTCTGATCAGATTACTTGGTGAGGTTTTTTATCAGATTATTTCACAGAGGTCTGATCAGATTACTTCAGTGAGGCCTGATCAGATTACTACACAGTGAGGTCTGATCAGATTACTGCACAGTGAGGTCTGATCAGATTACTTGGTGAGGTTTTTTATCAGATTATTTCACAGAGGTCTGATCAGATTACTTCAGTGAGGCCTGATCAGATTACTACACAGTGAGGTCTGGTCAGATTACTTCACAGAGAAAGTTCAAAAGATGTTCAGATGTTTATGTTCAGGCGTGTTTAATCAATATAATATTAATAATAATGATAATTATCATGTTAACCTGTCCAGGTGTCTAACAGCTGTTTGTACCTGTGTCTTTGTCTCCTCAGTGGCACGTTCAGGCCACCTGTGCCACTCAGGGTACAGGTCTCTACGAGGGTCTGGACTGGCTGTCCAATGAGCTGTCAAAACGCTAGAGCAGCGGGCAGGTAACAGGAAGCAGCAGACTGATGTCATCGACTGATGTCATCGACTGATGTCACCATGTACAAACTGATGAAGAGGTGCAGGAGGAGGCGGAGTTTCACAGGACTGTTTTTGTTTTTTTTAAATTATAAATGTGTCTGTCTGTAGGAGGAAGTGACGTCATGGACTCTGAGCTCACCTTTATTTCCTATCATCCTCTTCTGTTCTTCCTGCAGATGTTTGTTAGATCTGTTTTTTCTTTTAATCCGCATGTTTTAACTGAATCATGTGACAGGAAGTGAGTCAGGAGGGGCGTGGCTTATGACAGGCTGCAGTTACCTGTTTTTAGAGGGCAGTGTTTGACAGGTGACAGTTACCTGTGGGGGGGTGGGGTTGTGACAGATGACTCTTACCTGTTGAGGGGAGGTTGACAGATGTGACAGGGGCAGGATTTGTGACAGGTGACAGTTACCTGTTGGGGAGGGGGTTGGGTTAATGACAGGTAACTGTTTCCTGTTTTTTTAGAGGGTGGGGTTTATGAAAGGTGACAGATACCTGTGGGGGCAGGGGGCGGAATTTGTGACAGGTGACGGTTACCTGTGGTGGGGGCAGGGGGCGGAGTTAACTGCAGGTGACAGTTACCTGTTATTTGATGACTCATTCCACAGAGCCGAACCTGAAGGCCTCGTCATTCCTTATCAATGTGAAGAAGAAACAGAGACGACAATGATGCAATAAAGGTTTTTTTTTCTTCGCACCTGTTTTTGTTATTTTTAGTTTAATATTTAAAATAATTCATATTCATGAGGCTCCAAAAATCTTTTTGTGACAGAAAAAAATTCCCTGTTATAATTTGGTATTTGAACGCATCACCAGTTTGTGTTATAAGAAGAAAATGAACCTGTTAAATGAGATGTAAAGGTTTTATTTTATATGTTCTGACATATTTGTTATTAAAACAAAAATGTTTTATAACATTAATTTTTGGTGAACATTTTCTTGTTATAAGTTTGAACCATATTTAACAACATTTAGAGACAGGAATAAACAGATCAAAGTAAATTTGCTCAGTTTTGTTACAAGAATCTTTTCTTGAGATTTTTCATGTTATGACATTTTTTTATTTTGTGTTGTGAGAATTCTTCCTCATCTCTAATAATAATAATGAGAAAGATAAATGTTTTGTTATGGGGGAACAATGTGATGTCACAGTGGCAGGAAAAATTTTAACATGGAAAAGATCATGTTAAAAACATCTTATATTGTTTTATGTTCTAACAAGAAAATGTTTAAATGAAATGTTAGTTTATTTATATATTTTTGCTATTTTCATTTAGACTTTTTCTCATTAGTGAATGATTCTGTTGTAACAGGAAACTTTTCTTCTTATAACAATATTTCACTTTATATCATGAAAATCAACATGATTTTTTCCGCACCAACTTATATTAAACTGATTTTGTGAAATTAAGTTTTTTCATAATAAGATCAATTTAATCTGTCAGTTTATTTGGATTTTCATGATAAACAAATTTGTTGAAATGAATTTTAATGTTATGTCATATTTTCCTGTTCATGCTCCAGTGTTGAAACCTGATCTATGTTTCATATTCTACAGTGTTGAAACCAGATCTATGTTTCATATTCTACAATGTTGAAACCTGATCTATGTTTCATATTCTACAGTGTTGAAACCAGATCTGTTTCATATTCTACAGTGTTGAAACCAGATCTATGTTTCATATTCTACAGTGTTGAAACCAGATCTGTTTCATATTCTACAGTGTTGACACCATGACACATTAACGTGACAGTCACAGACTCCCTTT